CCCCAAGCAGGAACTCTGTGAGGAGTTTGTTTTTCTCCCGCGTCTCCTGAATGGAGATGCATTTGATCTCAGCGTGGGCCCACCCATGCTCCCGTGACCGGAGCCGGTGGGTGACTCACTTCCCCTGGTGGCAGACCCCCCTGTGGCCTGGGTGCCACGGGCCCCGGCTCAGGGGCGGGCGCTATCAGTCTGCACACCCGTTCTTCAGTTTTTGAGAATTGTGAGTTGGGTGGCCCATGGGGCCCACCCAGCGTTGGTCATCTGACAGGGGAAGATGAGTCCCTGGCACCAACACACTGCTCGGATGAAAGAGTTATCGCGTGCTCGTGTGTGGTGCCGTTTGGTTAGCTTGCATACACTGGTCGGTTTCTCATTTCAATTGCCACCCCAAAGCAGGTCCCCAATATTGGCACATGCCCCCACAAGTTTTGTGCGGAGTCTTCTGGACTCGCCGAACAAAAATAGATGCCTCCGGTATCGCGAAAGCTCACGTTGCCACGAACGAATCCCTGGCAACTCAAAACCTCCGCAAGGCAAAGGCAAGACATCATGTGGTTTTCTGTTGTGCTTACTCTCAGCATGCATATGTTGCTTGCGGCTGTTTACTTCGATCTCGGGAATCGTAAACTGTGGCCCTGGGTGGATCCTTTGTTGGGCTCGCCCCAATGAGGTCGCAAGGTCTTGATCTGAGGTACCTTTAGCACTGTGGGTGGTGAGTTGTCAGATGGGCAACAGCTCTTGGCTTGGCGACTAAAGATTTCTTTCAACCCACCCTCCCGCTATCTGACCAACAGCCGCCAAAATATGTCCCTGCCCAATGAGGCGTGGAAGTAGCCCCCCTCAAAGGGATTCTGCTCGTGCTCGCAACTTTTGCAAGTGAGTTGGGAGCGATGTGGGTATATATAGAATATATTTAGATTGCGCACCCTTTGTTTGGTGGAGATCATGCTCATGCTGATTTCTGTCACCAAACCATTTTTGAGCGTGTCCCACCCATAAATTTTGGTGTGTTTTCCAGGTTATCCTTTTTGGGGCTGCTTGGAAGGGACGTCAAAGGGAATTTCGGGGAGGTTCTCCTATTTTGACCCCAACCTGAAAATGACGTTCCCCATGAAAATCCAAGGCCTTTTCGAGGGTGCTCCAAGCGTAAAATTTGTTTGTCTTTGCAGGATCCTGCATCAGGCCGTTGAGGAGGTGGATGAGGCGCGCGCGACGGGCAGAAGGGGAGCACTCAAAACCTAGGAGGATGAAGGTATGCAGATCCCCCCTTTGAAAATTACATAGTTCTATGATACTATGCCATTCCGCAGCAAAGAAGTTGAGCGATGCTTGCCACCTGTCCACCAAGTTGGAACTAGGAAAAGGGAGAGAACGAATGTTGACTCTGGCTCATGTCTGACAGGATTGGTTGTTTCCCTTTGTAGCGGTCCCAACAGGGATGCCGGGAACCGAAATTGGAGCCCCAACCAACTCCCTTTTTTGAACAGAGGCTACCTAGAGGACTGGCACTTGTTTGAATTCGGAGCTTCGTGAGGTTCCAAGGGCATCGCCAAAGCCAAAGTTGCAGGGTGACGCCGCAATGTGCGCAGTATGGATTGATCGGTATTTGTCACCGATTTCCACATGTATTTTGGCCCTTGACATATTCTTTCTAAAAAAAAAATGGAGCCTGCGGCTCAGTCCGCCGACATTGTCCTCTCCCTTTTCTCCTGCTTCCGCTCTCTCTCTCTCTCTCTCTCTCTCTCTCTTTTCTCCTCCCCCGTGTGTTCGCTCGTCCTCTCTCCCTCTCTGTCTATCTCCTCCCCATCCTCCCCATCCTCCCAATCCCCTCTCTCTCACTCTCTCTCTCTCTCTCTCACTCTCTCTCTGTCTCTCTTGTTTTTTCTCTCTCTCCCTCTCTCCCTCCTTCTCTCTCTCTCTCTCTCTCTCTCTCTCTCTCCCCTTCTCTCTCTCTCTCTCTCTTTCTCTCTCCCTCCTTCTCTCTCTCTCTCTCTCTCTCTCTCTCTCTCTCTCTCTCTCTCTCTCTCTCTCTCTTTTCTTCTCTCTGCTTCTCTCTCTCTCTCCTTCTCTCTCTCTCTCTGTCTCTCTCTCTCTCTCTCTGTCTCTCTCTCTCTCTCTTCTTCTCTGTCTCTTTCTGTCTCACTCTCCCTTCCTCTCTATGCCTCTCTCTCTGTCTCGCTCTCTCTCTCTCTCTCTTTCTCTCTCTCTCTCTCTCTCTCTCGCTCTCTCTGTCTCCCTCCGCTCTTGTCTCTATCTTTCTCTACCTCCTCACTATGCCTCATTCTCCCCACCTCGTGTCTCTGCCCCCCCCCCCCGGCCGCTGCCTCTCTCTCTTTTTTGTTTTGTTTCTCTCTGTCTCTCTTTCTGTCTCTCTCTCTCTCTCTCGCTCTCTCTCTCTCTCTCTCTGTTTGCATTGCAGCGTCATGCCCCCCCTGAGTTGCCTCGATTTCCGTGCACTGCCCCTTCATGACCCCTGAATTGCCTTCGTGCCCCCTTCATGTCCTTTTCATGTCTCGTCATTTTTCGAATGTTCATGTTTGCCCTTTTTGGATACTTTGCGCATCACCGGGATGATGTTTATGGGCCGTCTAGGGATCCCTGTCCCAAAATGGCAAGGCTCGAGCCGAGTGACGGGTTCCCAGGCAGCATCGCTGAACGTCGCCAGATGGGCGGCCGTGAGGCAGGGAGAAGATTGTCACGCGTCGAAATGAGGTGAGTGCACAATCGTGAATCACTGCTGTTTGGTTGTATCGTAATCACCGCATCTTGTCGCAGGTCAGAATGGTTAGATACCTTTTGAATCAGCAGTTTCTGGGCAGCCGCTTGCCCTTGTGTCGCAAACAATATGCTGCATGCGCTATGTCATTTTGCTGTAAGAATCATCCGCGCATCCACTGTAAAAACAGGTGTCCCAGCACTGGCCCAGCACGCCAAACTATGCCGCGATGATGATGATGATGATGATGATGATGATGATGATGATGATGATGATGATGATCTGTGACCTGATGGACCTAACCTCCCATTTTTCTTCCGTAGCTGACTTCCACACTGCACCTTTGGCTAATGCGGGCGGTCCATGGGTAGCCACGCGTGCAATGCAGGAAGCTTTGGAAGACCTGGACTGATGGGGTAAACTGCTTCAATTGAGCAGGCCACGCAAAGAAGACTACAGGCAGGTGGTGGGTTTAACGCGACGGTGGTTGGTAACTAGCAGTTTGCATAGTTTGGGGAGTGCAACGCATGCGACCCATTCCACAGATCAGAGCTTGGGGGCTGAAGCGCTTTCGAGCCGCAGATGTTGGGCGGTTCTTGCCCTGAGGGGACCAGACCCAAATGCTGCCAACGCTGCCCATGCAAGGCGGGGAATTGGGGGTGGGGGGAGGGGGAGGGGGTGCAGACCAAATCTAAAGCCGAACTGCGAGGAAATGTGCAGTCAGGGCGATATTCCCCGATTGAACCAACAAATCGCCAATCGCCATATGTGAGTCCCATAAACTAGTCGCAAGTGAGAAATGTTGTTGCAAGTGAGCCACCAGACTTCTATGGGAACCCCTGTGTGGGCGTTTCCTTACCACAAACCCTCGAACCGCGTCTGTCTTCTTTGCTGCCTGCTTCGCACTGTCAAACAGAACCAAGGTGAATCTGCTATCAAAGGCAGGGGCTATTTGTGAAACACTCTGACCGACCAGGCCATCGCTGGTTCATCACCAGTTGGGGACAGAATGAGAGGAGGTGCCTTATATGGTGATGCATTTCTCATAATTCTGGTTGATTCCTTTCCTTGTATCCGCCTGTCTTTTGTTATGTAATGTTACCGTTGCACATAGTCGAACTGGAACCACAATTTGAAACATTCGCTTCATGGCATTGTTTTGGCACAGCAACAAGTCGGGAATATTCAGATCTTGATGAGGCGTGCAGCGTGCTGCATCAGTTGCTTTGTGTGTTGTTCTGCGGTTGTGTGTCTGTGTGAGTACGGTGACAGAGAAGGCATCGGAAGTAGTGCATGTTTCCCGTTTTGTTTGCTTGTCGAAAGTCTTAGTTTTTGTTAGCATTGGCCGTGCAGAAGTGTTCAGGCCTAGCACAAATGAAGAAGCCGATGCGCTGCAGACCAACTGAAGCTGCTCTTGATTCACTCCCAGGAACCACATGGCCCGCTGCAGCAGTGCGTAGATGTCAGCTCTAACGCTGACACTGGAGGGCTAGCCATTTCACGCGGCGCCCTGCCTTTGCTGTGCGAGGGGTGTGATTCTGAGCATGATGACGTGTGCCTTTCTCGCGAGCGTGCTGGTCTTGACAGTCTGCCTTGGGAAAGCCGGGCGCTGCTGACGTCTTTGCGCAACCAGTTGCCAGAGGTCAGAAGGAGTCGCCAGAGAGGATTGCTCAATCATATTGAGGCTAGCTTATTTGGCTGTTAAAACCCACTTTCAGGAAGCCACGGAAGACAAAACCAAGCCTTGCAACTTGTCATTTAGGGAAGTCGAGGTTTGCCCCATGAAGGAGGTGCGAAAGGAGCACCTGGCTCTTCGTATGTTGCTAGCTGCGCAGACCCATTGTTCAACTTGCAGCCATGATTTTTTGACCCATAGGTGTCCTTTTTGGTTCATTTGGTCGAAAAATAGATGGCCCTGGTTTGCCTGGTGGTTTAATCATCTACAAGGGCCATCTATTTACCCTAAAAGGACGCCCTATGTTTTGACCCTTCACGAAGTAGGCTGGGCATCTAAGCAAAGACCCCTGTCGGGGTTCTTCTTTCGGCGGTTCCCGTTCCCCGGGTTTTCGTCTTTAGCGGCGAAACAACGCTGGTGAGGGGTGCCCTGGACTCTGAGCTGCGGTGGTGACTACCACCATACACCTGGCGGGTGTATAATGCAGAAGGAAAAGCATCTCTTCAACAATCAGCCAGGGGTTTGTTAATGCTAAGACAGGGAAAACGTGGGGCCCAGCCCCAATTTCTCCGCGGGGCGACAACTCAACCCAGGGCAGCCAGCCCTGTGATGGAGCAGCGGCTAGCGGTGGGCCGCAGCCAGTGAGCCCAGTGGGGCTTGGTTGAAAAAGCCTCCTTCCAAGGTGGATGTCACGAAGCGTGGAACGGAAAGGGCGTTTTTTTTTTCCCTTCTCTGTTGCGTTTGGGTTTGACAGCAAAAAACAGCACCAGGTTTGAGAGACACCCACTCTGAGCCATGGCTCAGAAACCAAACGTGGCATGGAACCCAAGTCAAGTGGGCTTAGCAAGGATTTGTGACCTTAACCAAGTCTTCTTGAACGGGATCCATGGGGGAGTCCCTTGAAGGTGGGAGGGGACGTGGGTTCCACGACATTGGCAAGCCTTGGATGAGGCTGGCCTACATTTTTGGAGTCGAAACCCGTTCAACGAGCTCGGGGCAAGCTGCAAGGGAGGGCTACCGGAGATGCACCCCGGTGTGGATCATTGAAATCATATGCGGTCGTTATGGACTTCCAGACGCACCGGAACACTGATAAATTGCCCAAGGAGCTGCTACACCATCTACGGCACTGGAGGAGTCAGAAACTGCAGTAGTCCAATACACTCGATGTTAACGCTTGCAAACACGATGGAATGTAGGTATTAGGTCCCGAGTCCAACCTTTTGGGAGCGGTTGACTTTTGATGTTTTGGTTGCTTCTTGGTCAGATGTAGGTGGGGGCTGTCCTAGCTTTGGGGGGATACCCTCATTTTGGATGGTGTTGGAAGCGAGGTGAAAAGGAACCCTAGCATGTCGATGGGGTCTTTCATTTTGGAAACTCTCATGTCAGACACTGTCAGCCATGTGACCTCTCCCGTAGAATTTTGAGTGTTGATGGCTTGATGGTTCTTGCTTTTTCTTGCTTGATTTGGTGTGCGCATTTGAAGCTTGTGGCTATCCAGTGGCTCATTCCAGGATGATAAGACAAGGCTAGACCGAGTATGAACAATCAAGTCTCATGTCTTGCACCCTGAAGTTCGCTGAAGTCTATCCATCAGGCAGCCCGTATGTTGGTGCTTTGGATTGGTGGTTCGGCGATTTGAACATTTTAGATCTCCATCCTCACCAAAGAATGCACCTCTCTTGGCTTCCAGTGCTCCAAACCACGAAGTTGACCTAGAGGTTTGCCATGGGGACCGCGAAGACCCCCTCGCGGGAATCGGTCTTCAGATCATCGCGGGGCATACTTCAGGGAAAAAGAAACCATCCACAACAGGCCTTTTCGAGTGCGGTGCTCAAATGGAGGATCCCTAGACACAACTCATTGTGAACCTTCTTCTTGGCATAGGGTCCTTTCTACACTATCATTTTGAAGCTTGGTGCCCTTTTGTTTTAGGTGAAACCACCATTTGTGGGGGTTCACAAAAACCAGGGGACTCGCTGCGTATCCCACAACATATCACAACAACCAAAGTACAAACCCTGACTGTCAACCACACAACTGAGGTGAATCTGAGTGGTTCCATGTCCAGTGCGGCAACAACCATTTCGGAGAAAACTTCTCGGGAGAAAGAGTGAACCTTGGAGTGTGAAATCAATTGGGAAGCTTTGGGGATCATATGTTGACGGCTCATGTAGGCCATGCGGTTTTGCCTCAGGTGCGTCCTCGCCCAATCCCGGGTCTCCCGCGCAGCAAGATGCGCGGACCCCGCAGGCAGAGCAGCGGCTTTTGGGAAAGTGTGAGGGAAATCCTGAATGGACCCTTGCCAACGGGCCCGAAATCCATTGACGATACCACCTACGAAGCATGTAAAAGGCATGCGCAGCTTCATTGGGTTGGCCAGTAACAGATTGGGGTGCAGTTTGCATGTCACCTCAACAGAAGGGGCCCAATGGAAGGGAACGTCCATTTCATGTCTGAACTCCTCTGCAGGCGGATGTTGCAACAGAATCTGATTGAGCTCGGCAGCATGTTGTGGTTTGCTGTTCGGAGCTCATTTCAGCCACAATGGTAAACTTTCATGGACAAAGCACAGACACCTATGTGAGGCTACATTTTCAAGGAATGCTTACGTGCGAATCCTGTAGTGACAGCTTGCTGGGCTGTCCAAATCATGATGTGGAGCCAGCGATCTCAGCTTCTTGGTTTGCTGCCCAGCTTTCTTCCGCAACTTCTTGGTCTCTCTCTTCTATTTCTTTCTCTCTCTCTCTCTCGCTCTTTGTCTCTCTCTCTCTCTGCTCTTTCTCTCTCCTCCCTCTCTCCCTCCTCCTCCCTCCCTCCCTCCCTCCCTCCCTCCCTCCCTCCCTCCCTCGCACAACATGCTCAGGACATTCAGATGACATCCAGTTCATTGTGTTGTTTTGTGCCTTGAGGTCTCTTATACGGTACGCAGCGCCGTGTGTACCGTACTACTCTACCCCATTATTCTGGGTAAAATGTAGTGATGTCAGAAAGGGGCTTTGCATCCTCGACCAGGATGAAGGTTGTTTTCCTTATTTCAGCTTGTTGAATGCTGTCATTCACCCATATTATAAAATCCGTTCTTCATGATGATGTATCCAAGCAGCCTGAATTCACCCGAATGTGACGAGAACATGCAGGTGTACAGAGAGCTTCGCTGTTTGAAGAACAAGTCTGACAGGTGTATGTGCTGAGCATGTGTTGTGGCATTTCAACACATGTGCCTCTTTCTTGCAAGTTGAGTGGGCGAGAGCTTCTCAAGCGATGGTCTCTAAAGCAACAAGTTTCAGTCATTTGTTGAGGGATCTGGTTACACAGTTCCGGCGGTTGGTTGAAGATGAATTGCTTTAGATATTGGGGCAAGCATCTCAGTTTTCAAGCCCGGCCATCTGATGCAGAGCGACAGGGGATGAACATTTGCCTGACCGATTGGCGTGTTTCGCTGCACACTGTGAAGCAACTACAAAGCACAAAGACACTTTTCTCAACTGGCCGAAAGCCTGAACATATCTTACTGTGTGTCCAAGTAAGCCTGCAGCAGTCTCTTGGTATCTTGTTGATGGTCTTGCTGTCAGACCCAGCCACGCAGCCACGCAGCCACTCCGGCACCAAATACCTCAATTCGCTGTTCAATGCTTGTGCAGCACTTGTGCATTTCCTAACCTGTTCCTACTCCTTTGTCAGCTGTTTCCCAGACGTTGCACCAGTTTCCACCCAGCCACCCAGCCAACCAGCCAGCCGGCCGACCATGCAGCCACTCACCAACCAGGCTAACTTTGTCCCGAACTTTTGCGAGACACTTCCACCATTGTCAACCTTTTCCCACACATTTCACAAGCTTCACCCAGCCAGCTACCCATCCACCCAGCTACCCAGCTACTCAGCCACCCCGCTCCCCAAGCATTCCCAGCCAAACAGATCACTCCTTGCCCTCCTCACCCTCCTGACCACACCTTGGGGGCGCGCCGCGCCATGCCCGGCCGAGCGCTTCAAAGCGCCGCCACGGCCGCGGCTTTCGGCGGCGCCTGCGCCGTCGATGTGCGGCCGGATCAGAGCCACGCCATCCTCCAGTGGCGCAGCCAGGAGCGTGGGGGGTGGCCTCTGACTCCAAGCGGGAAAGGCGGCTGGAGAATGAGGGTGGAAGGGGAAGGCGGTGCGTCTACGACGGGTCCATGAGAACGGTTTGCCTCACAGGCATGATTTGTTCCAGAGCTTCCACTTACAAATACAATGTAGAGATATCCAGGTTGTCCTCCCTCAAGCTTTCACATGCTGGCTACCTACAATGGTAGTTGGCGCAGGGTATGACTGAGCAAAGCTTTTTGGGATTCTCCAGGGTGGTCACGCTTCCCCCCGGAAGCGGCTTCAGGCTTTCCTGCGGAAAGCACCCCTACCGCCAAAGTGGCGCAGCTCTACTACCCCCTCTCCATACACCGACCCCCGCACAGGTATGGTTTTGTTGCCAAGGTTCTCAAAACTGGAGAGCTTGGCTCCCGTTTCGACGAGCCTTTTGGCAGGCTCACGCGGGGAGGAGGGGGGGGGTTCTTGATGTCTCGCGAAGGAGCGGCTGCCCAGCTTTCTGGAGACGCACACAGAGGCAGGTCTGCGGCCAATTGGGCGTCCTTCCACCAACGAACATGGGGTTGGCGGAGAGGAACCCTGTACCAAAGAAAGGTGGCCTTCCAAAAGGGCACTTCCATGTTTGTTGGTGTAAGGGTGACGCACGTGCCACCTACGTGATCAATACCCCCACTTTGAATGTAGGAAACACTTTGCTCAGAGAACTTGTCAACCAGGGGTTACCGCGTACTCACTTCCCGAAGCTCGGGACACCTCGGACGAAGATCACATGATTCCATTTCGGCGGGGGCAATGTTTGGTTCTGACACCACAATGACCAGGATGGGGCACCCTCTTTTGGTGATCCGCTCAAATGGTAAAGCAAAGAGCGGCCTCACGAGGGTTGCGTCCCAACACCCAAGGCTCTTTTCTTAGGAGTCAATTTCTTATTCTAGGTTGCCCAACGCCATATTTTATCTAGATAGCCCATTCTAAACAAAGACTTTGCCAACTTCATAGTAATTTTTCCTAACAGCCTAATTTCACTCTTTGCCTTTGCCAGAGCCATACACATGCAAACCAACTCTTCCTGTTTGAAGAAGGGTGGCCAGCACGCATTCACCCAGACACTGGGCTTGGCGGGGTTCCCCTGCACCTTGGGCTGACCAGGAGCTGACGCTGTCGCGGCCAGGGGTGTGGGGCTTCTTCCAAGAGCCCCTCGGGGTCCATTGTGATGCCCATGTCGACCCCGGACCAACCAACCTGGTCGGATGAATAGTGCGTGTTTCCAAGAAAGTCAGGGATTCCTTCGAACATGGGACACTACTAGGAATCTGGGTTCCCGCAACCCCTTTCTGTTGGGTTGTTTTGTAGCTGTTAGGTTTTCCTGAATATGGTTTCTCAGGTGTCCATGTATTTGTCAGTCTTGTCGATGGCCTTCCCGATTGAAATCTGGCAAGATACACCGGGTGTCCCTATGGTTGCATTTGTGATTTTCTTAGTGTGCTGTCCTATTTCAGCCAGCCAAGAAAAGCAGGGTGTCCCTGCTTTCCATTCTTCCTTCTTTGGTTATCCTCTTGCCAACAATCATGGACAGGGGCGTCGCCAAAAGGAAAGTAGTCTGTCAGCTTCTATGTTGGAGCGAGGGTAACCGCTCCTTTCAAACTCAGTCAACTGAAGAAGGGGCCCTTGCTCATATTCCTTTGCTTGACTGGGTTTCCATTTTGAATCAACCGACACAGTAGGGATGCCTGGTTTGAGTTCTTTTCTGTTTTTGCTTTCCAGCAAAATCAAGGTTCCATTTTTTCCCAGCGGGCTTCCAAATTGGATCGTCCAACCAAACATAGGATGTGTCTATGTTTTGCTATTCTTTGGGTTGGGTTCGCTTTACAAATCAACCTTCAAAACCCAGGCATCCCGTGTTTCTTTCATGTTTTGCACGTTTTTTTTTCTTCTTAAGCTCCAACCACCAAACAAACATGGCGTCCCAGCTTTTTCCGTCTGAAATCAACCAACAGAAACTTAGCTTTTTGGCTGTGTCCTGTTTTGTCCGGGCTTCCATCCGCAGTCAACCAACAAAATCATGGTGTGATTGTGTTTGCATCATTAGGGTGTTGCTCTTATCATCGGACTCAGGTTTCTTTCCCATTTTTGAAGTTGGGTTGCCGGTTGTCCTTGAACACGTCATCCAGCTCAACATCAGTATTGCTTTTGTGTGTCTGTGTTTTTTGTGGGTTGGGTTTCTTTCCCTCATGAACAAAAGACAACCAACAACATCGGGGGTGCCTTTCTCGTTTCTGTGAATTGTTTCAATCTTTGGATAGATCCACCAACAAAAAGTGCATTGCTTGCTTCGGTTGTTTTCCTTGAGAGCTTCCCAGTTGAGATTGGGTGACACGCGCAGGTTGTCCTTTTTATTATTATTTGGATGCTTCAACTCAACCGACAGAAGCAGAGGCTCCCCATGAAAACAGGGCGCCCTTGTCCTGTCTTTTGTTTAAGCACGCACACAGACGCACACACACGCAAAAGGCAAGTTTCTCAGTTTTCCTAGGAAACCTCAGCCAGAATTGCATTCCCCGTACTTTGATGTGGGTTTCTCTGCAAAGATTTGCCAACAAAAGCAGGGTGTCCCTGTTTATCGTTTCTGAGATTGTGGTTCTGTCAGCAGTCATCGAACCACGAAGAGGGTGTCAATGCTTTTGTTGCTTTGCTGATAATTTTCCCAGTCATAGAATACGCGCCAGGCCCTGCTTCTTTGGATTCAAACAGCACTAGGTCCCCCAGTAGTGCCCTTTTACCCTTTTTGGGGGAGGGTTCCCCTACTAAATTTGACTAGAAGAAAAAGTTGGTACCCTTATTCGAACCTCTCTACTGGAGGACCTAGGCAAAGCATCAGCCACCACGCACCGCACCCGAGCTTCACCGAGGCCCTGGCTGGGCCGCGCGGTGGTGGGCCACGTGAAGTGGCGCCTCGTTCGATCGTCTGCGCGGGCGAGGGGGTTCAGTTGGGTTGGCGAGGGCAGGGTGTGGCACGCTTGAAACCAACACGTGAAAACGGTGTCTTTCGGGTTCTGGATATCCTGGGCGCCAAAGTGGTTGAACCGGAGCATCACTTTGTGGCAAGCTTTTCTCTAGAAGGGCGCATTTTGCAGAGCAAAGAGGAAATGGCTACTTTTAAGACAGTACACATATACTTAATTAATTACCTATTGGCTCAGCAAGTTTTCGACCACTTAGTCGCGCCATCCACTTCGGGCCATGTCGACCCAAGTTTTTGAGTGCGGGGGTGTCATGGTGTATCAGTTTTTGTGCGGCAGGGAGATCGCAAAGAGAGACCGCTTTGCGACGCAGATGGCAAACTACTGTTATCTGGTTGTGAACACACTGGACCGGACAGCCATCGCCATTGATGCAGCTTGGGATGTGCAAGGTTTGTTCAATCTGGCAGCAGAGTTGGGAGTGAAGATCAGGGGCTGCGTGTACACGCACTATCATTTCGACCACTGTGGTGGCGACGTTGACCCCAGGTTGACCGGTGGCCAAAAGGTGAATCTGGAGGGGGCGAAAGAGGTGAAGGATTCCGGCGGCGCCATTTGGGCTGGCCAGGGAGATGCGGACATGATCAAGAAGCAATGCGGCCTTGAGGATGTCCTTGAGATGCGGGATGGTGACGTGATCCCATGCGGGGACCTGGTGCTGCACATCATTCGGACGCCTGGTCACACGCCAGGTTCCATTTGCGTCTTTGCAGCCCCGCGCTGCCTCTCACCTCGAACGGAGCTTGGCAGATCTGGGCTGACGGAGGCACGAACAAAGGCAGAGGCTGGGCTGCTCATCACCGGGGACACCCTCTTTGTGGGGAGTTGCGGTCGCACGGACCTGCCAGGCTCAGATGTGCGGGACATGTTCAGCTCTTTGGCCAGGTTGAGCACCCTGGATTCGCAGGTGGTGGTTTGCCCAGGCCACAACTATGCGCCGGAGCCCTTCACCACCATCGGTGCCGAGCGGGCGCAGAATGAGATGGTGAAAATGGGCCTGTCGCACTTCCCGAGCCCGCTGCCTGTGCCGAAGTGCTTCGCCTGTGGCGGCAAGCCTTGCGGACCCAAGGCCTTCCGGGTGGGCCGCCGGGCCCGCATCGCGCAGCTCACGTCCGAGAAGGGCCGGGAGATGAACGGCAGGGACTGCGTGGTGGAGGGCTACAACGAGGACGCGCAGCGCTACGAAGTTCGGATGATCGGCGCGTCGGGCATCAAGGTGCTCAAGCCAGAGAACCTGGACAAGCCGGAGCCGCCGGCAGAGGAACAGTGGTGAGGGCTCGTAGATTTGTAGATGACAACTTCGCAAGACGTGAGGATTCAAAGCAAGTCCCGTCTCCAGAGATCCGAAGAAACAAATGTATACACACATGTGTGTGTGTGTGTGTGCGGATTTGGGGCCTATCATCCTGTCTTGGCAATCCTTTTTGCAACCTCCGGCTTTGGGACCCTCTTGCCCATGTTCTGTGCTAAACAGATCCCCTCAAACATTACGAAGTATGTTCGGCCCATTTCGCTTACAGAAAAGCTTCGTCTCCGCCCATGAGGCAGGGCCTGTTTGAAGGGAAGTTGGCAGGAGTGGAACTACATACCCCTTGTTCATACTCCTTGCCTGGTCACCAGCCCGCTTCAGGGTATCTACCCCTTTTGCAGAATGAACAGCAAGAGCCCCGTAACGGGTCTTCTCCCAGGGGCTGTGAAAGTGCTGTGTAACCCCTAGTGCCCTTAACCAACATGACGGTAGAGCAGGCTCCTAGGTTTGTAGAACCGGTTCCGAGTTCAACGGCTCAATGGAGAAAAATGGGGCCCATGGCACAAGTTCTCGAAGCAAATGTAGGGCGGTACACATGATTCATTGGTATTCAGGATGCTCAAAATGGGTTGATGCTTGACAATGCAATTTCTGATGCTCCTCTGGTTCTGATGCTCCTTTGGTAAATGCCCCTCGAGTTGCTGGGAGCTGATGCGAGCTGGAGCAACTTCATGGCTTCACTTGCTTGGACACGATATCAAATGGCTCCAGGTCAGACATCCGTTTCGAACTCGGTTGCCATAACCACGCCAAGTACAACCACTGGAGCCCACGACCGTGACCGATTCGTGGCCGGATGGTGGGAAGGCCAATCCCCAAGTTGGCTTCTTTCGATGTGGTTCCGTGTCCTCTGCTGGGATTCTGTTGCCTTTGTTGAGAAACATCGCCATTCTACCTTGAGGAGTCGTGCCGTTCCAGTTTTCATATCTTTGAAGTTCCATTCCCAACTGCGTCTCGCTGTGGACACCAGGAAACAGTCACCGCCAATTGACTCTCCATTTTTCTTCCAGGGTGCTCAGAGCCTTCAACAAACCGGGTAGACCATTGCTTCCGAACCCCTTGGCGCGTGGGTTGGTTGGTTGGTTGGTTGGTTGGTTGGTTGGTTGGTTGGTTGGTTGGTTGGTTGGTTGGTTGGTTGGTTGGTTGGTTGGTTGGTTGGTTGGTTGGTTGGTTGGTTGGTTGGTTGGTTGGTTGGTTGGTTGGTTGGTTGGTTGGTTGGTTGGTTGGTTGGTTGGTTGGTTGGTTGGTTGGTTGGTTGGGTTGGTTGGGTTGGTTGGTTGGTTGGTTGGTTGGTTGGTTGGTTGGTTGGTTGGTTGGTTGGTTGGTTGGTTGGTTGGTTGGTTGGTTGGTTGGTTGGTTGGTTGGTTGGTTGGTTGGTTGGTTGGTTGGTTGGTTGGTTGGTGGGTTGGTAGGCCGGCTGGCTGGCTGGTCGGTCGGTCGGTCGGTCGGTCGGTTGGTTTTGGTTGGCAGTTGGATATGGTTGGTTGGTAATGGTTGGTTGGTTGGTTGGTTGGTTGGTTGGTTGGTTGGTTGGTTGGTTGGTTGGTTGGTTGGTTGGTTGGTTGGTTGGTTGGTTGGTTGGTTGGTTGGTTGGTTGGTTGGTTGGTTGGTTGGTTGGTTGGTTGGTTGGTTGGTTGGTTGGTTGGTTGGTTGGTTGGTTGGTTGGTTGGTTGGTTGGTTGGTTGGTTGGTTGGTTGGTTGGTTGGTTGGTTGGTTGGTCGGTCGGTCGGTCGGTTGGTTGGTTTTGGTTGGCAGTTGGATATGGTTGGTTGGTAATGGCAGGGAATGGCAGGGAATGGCAGGGAATGGTAGGTAGGTAGATGTGGTCCTTTGGTTTCCGACAAAGCCAAATTTTAAATGTGGTTCTCTTCTTTTTGGCCCCCCCAAAATGGTTTTCGATTTGCCGAAAGCCACAGAAAAGGGGTATTGTCTCAAAAAGACAAGCCACCCACATATCTTATACCACCCACATGTTTTACATTTAATGAAACTCGACCAGTAACTATCTAGGGGTTGACTCCCCTTGCTGTTCAACCATCGTTCGTTTCAAAAACCAGCCGTTTTTTTCCGTAAGGGTTTCTGGAGGGTTTCTAGAAATAAGGATCCCTGAACATGGGAAAAGGTGGCGCTAGATATTTGCTGGGTAAAGGATCCCACATTCCATGTCACGGAGAAGCCAACCTTTAACTGTAACGCATGTGGGTGATATACAACAGTTGGACACGCCCTTTTTTCAGGATACCCCTTGCGTGGTGGTTTTCCTCTTCTGGAATTTCAAGTGGAACATCAACACCGTGTTGCGTGCCCCAAAAAAGAGAGACATTTCGGCCCCTGAAAAATCGACAGGGATCCCACCCATCCCTCCCCCCCCAACGCGGAAAGAGGCCCGGCGCCAGCTGGCGCGCCAAGTTCACGGTGCTGCCCTCGCTGATCGCCAAGCAGGAGGCTGAGGCCATGAAGGAGCGGCCGGGTTTGGTGTCGGACGCGGTTTGGGGCCGAACCTCGGAACCCCAAGATCAATCCCAACGATTTTGGGTTTGATCTTGGGGTCTTATTTTTGGTTAAATCATGGGATTTGTATGAGTTTTTAAGTAAAGCCCAATATAAACTCCTTGGGAAGTCATGGAAGCGGACAGTGGATAGTAGTCTCCTGGACCTATTTTGTGGCGGCAAGGGCAGGAGACAAAGACACCCATCTCTTTCTCACCATGAGGTGGATCCAACTAAACGAAAACAAGCATGGATCAGGCTCTAAATGATGGAAGCAACAAGAATGGAGCGGACATTCAGGGCCCCGAATACTTTTCTGGCTTCGTTGCATCCCCTAGCCAGACCTCCAGTGGCCGCGAGGAAAACAAGATCAATTCTTGAAGGGAAGTTCCTTCCAAGCACAGACGAAGCAAGGAATCGCCCCGCTGCATCTGTCTGAAACATAAAGGGCTAAGTATTTACACGCTTAAGCAGGGCAGAACGGCAATGGTTTCCCTGTCGAAACAACCAACCAAATAGGGCAAAGTGCCCAAGACACACAAGATGCTGCATTCCGGCCGCCGAACACGCATGAGATTTTGGTCTCAAAATCGAGGATCCCCAAAATGGCTGGTTTCCTTTTGGTTTCCCCGAAGAGCCCAAAGAAGGGTTTTCCCTCCCAAACGACGCCTCCCCGGAACTTTCAAGCTACCGTCGTTACGTGACCCCGGCAGCGACCTGTGTATGGACTCAGACTTCAGCTTTTGCAACTACACTTGCAGCTTGCAGCAATCCTCTCACGCTTGTGACCATCGGTAACCGACACCTCATCAACCGCAAACGAGTTTTCAATACAAAAGGGGTTGTAATCCAACAAATCAAAGGACACGGAATGTTCAAGTGCTTCCCCCTGATTCTTTGTGGCTCCCCTTTTTTTGTTACCACCCTCACCTTTTTCAAGCCTCCGGTTCAAATTTTGGGTAGGCGTCAACATGGGCGGACCCCTAACATTGTGGTATTCTCTTGGGTTTCCCTTCAACCACCCCCAAAAGGGCACCCTCAAAAAGACACACCCACTTAACACCCTGCCCCTAGCCTAAGGGTAATCAAGCTTGGCGATTCATGTTTGTCCCCCCCCCCCCCCGCCCCCGCAAAGTGATTGAATGCTGCCTTGCAAAATGTGATGCCCCTCCAATAAAGCCAAACCAGTTTATTTTGTTCATCCTGAGGTCCCAGTGACAGTGAATGGGCCTGGAATCCAGTCCCAGCCTGCGGCTGTCGCTGGCTCGCACGCAGGAGCCGCTGATCGCCGCCCCCGAGGACTTCGACGAAGATATCGACGGGGTCGACAGGCGCAGGGAGAGGGTTCGGGGGAGGGGGGGGGGCCAGATGTGGTCCTTTTTTCATTGTCTCTGCAAGAGTTATGCTTGTTTTGCAGAATGCGTAAACATGTGTGTTGCTTGCGCAGTTTTTTTGTTACAACAGATCTAACCCAACAACGCCGTCAAATATATGTTCGACTCCCAATGGTGGCATTGTTTCAGGTTTCGTTCGTCAATTTGCCTGCTGAAGTTGCCTGGCTTCAGCACGGCTTGTTATTCTTTTAGTTCAATTACAAACAGGTTGGGGGTGGAAAGACCAAGCCCAAACGGGCGGTCCCTGTAGTAGGGAACCCTGCTCGACATGGTTTTGTGTTAGTTGATGCCAAGGACGTCAGTGAACTGCTTCTGTAAGGATCGGGGCAAGGTTGGCGGCAGTGGCGGTTCAAGCACTTTCGACATTTTCCCGTTTGCACTCCAACATCAAAGAAGCAAGCTTACTCGAGAATGTGATCAACGCAAGGCTTTCAGAGTGCATTTCCTCCAGGCACCATTTTTGGGATGGTTCCACAGCTCATTTTGGCCTCTCAAACAAGTTGCTGTTCATTGTGGAAACTTTGAGGTTGACATTTTCTGTGATACCAAGTTGGACTCCTCAATGTGATAGTCGTCAGATTGGGAGGGGCTGTTGCTCCGCATTTGGAGCTGCCCCGCCAGCGCCAGGATGGTCACCTACGAGTTCATCATCTCCAGCGCTGGAGCCGAAAAGGCCCATGATCCGGCGACTCGGACCAGCACTGGGCAGAAGGGAGGGTTCCAACAAGGTAGAAATTACGCAGAAATTAGCAAACTATGTTTGACCTGCCTTTTCCCCTGACGCTCGCATATTTCCCTTTCAAACAACTCCCGCTTTGAAGCTGTTCCAAAGTCTGCTGAAACCACTTGCCGTCACTTAGACCGCAATCAATTTCGCGAAGCCTGCCAGGTGCGGGAACCTTTGCGCCAGAAGCTGCGCGACATCACGGAGCCCATCATCCGCGACCGCATCGCGCCCTTCGTGCGCGCTCGCTACCCGCGCCGCGGCCGTGCAGGGGGTGGGACTGGGAAAAATGGGCCGTGGCAGCGGGAGGGCTTCATTTGCGAGCCTCGCAAATACATTTTTGTGAGCCTTGAAGCTCCTTGCAGGTTTGCGCATCGCTATTCTTTGTGGCCTCTTGTTCCGTACTGATAGCTTTCCAGGTGTCTTTATGCTTAAGGTATCCTTTGGCGGTTGTTTTTTCAGGGTGACACCCAAGGGAAAGCATGTCTTTACTCCTCGAGAGGCAACTTCAGTTTGTACGTGGAAGCTTACATCTTTTGAGAGACGGCATTGCGATCCCCGCTCACGAGCTCGAGATTGTTGACGGTGTACGGCCTGTTGACTCCCTCAACATAGTGACTCCACAGCAGAAATGATCGGCTGAAGGATCTTGGCAGAAACTGATCAATTCAAACGGAGAATGCTAGTGGATTCAATCCTGCAAGTTGCCCTGGGCGAATCATGAAGGCTAGAGGCTTGTGAAACGATCCTCTCGTCCACTTTCCTTGTTGGAATAATATAATGAGTTAGGCCTCGGGATGAACAAAACACCAGCAGGCTTCCCATTTATTAAGACGACATTAATGCATGGATTTTACATGTCAGCTGCATACCCATGACGTGTTATCTACCCTTCTGTCGCGCTTTAATCACTGTCAGATCATGTCTCCATGTTTATGAGTGTATCTCTAACTTGCAAAGATGCCATTGCGTTTTCAGGGGAGATTTCGCGGCTGCCATGTTGTCCCTGAGTGAGATACCAATCCGCTGCATTAGGCTGAAAGGGGGTTTCTCTCCATTTCAGCTGTTTTCCCTGCCTTAGGAGGCCTCCTGCATCGTTTCGCAGTGGACATGCCCCCTTTCCGCAGAAAGGATTGTTGTTTGAGCAGACATTATTTGCGGAAGCACTTCAGCAGTTGCCAATTCGAAGGCTTTTCCAACCGCAGCGCGAGAAGGGGAAGTCACAAATGGTGGCATTTGCTTTATTGGACACTGGTGTCAACTTGCATGTGGGTCAGCTTTCTATTTGGGGGGAATTAAAGCACATCATGTATTTGTGTGCCTTGGCTTCGACCCAGAGAAAGCCTGGCCCAGGAAAGCCGGCGCGGTGTGCCACTCGATGATCCGGAGATATCTGGAGAACGAGCGGCGCAGCCACGACACCCACTGGGACATCCCATCCTATGCTGCCTGTCTTTCACTCGGCGGGCCGACAAGAATAGAGCCGCTTTTCGGACCCGGTTTCTTTTGTTTGTGGCACCGCGCGAACAAGGAGTTAATGGACACGGCACCCTTTTGTAAAGGCGCAAAACTTCCTGGCGGGAAGCCCGCAAGCTGTGCTGTTGGCTTCGGCTGAAGTTGCTGAGATTCTGATGCTTCTGCCTATAAGGGATGGGGATGGGCCTGGTGTGATCGGCAATTGGCCGCCCAAGGCAGGGACCCTGAGAAGCCACCATTGAGGAAGCTTCTTTTGGGGGACCCCCAAAATGGGTTCCATTTGATGTGTAGGGGAGTATGACATACGTGTATTGTTTCTTCTGATAACAAAGTATACATCATGCAACAATTACAATGTATAGTTTTTGAAAGGACCCGACTTCAATCGCGTTGTGTTTTGCTCTGTGCGAGACAGCAATTAAAGGGGTTATCGTAGGCAGGCACGCTCTGGACAAGCGCGGTCTATTCAACTAGTTGCAACGATTCCAACTAGTGGTGCAGTTCTGTCCGAAGAGAAAGGGAAGAAACAAAATTGGCAACCAGGAAGGAAACTCCTGGTATCGGACCTTTTTTTTGAATTGGTTCCTTGGTGTGTGTTTTTTGGGGGGCGTATCCTTTGCAACATCATGCACTATCATTGTGCGAGTGGACTGCGACGCTTCCGGTTCATCAGCAAAACACGGAAGGACTGTTGCCATTTCACTTTGCACTGCTTTCCCTCCAGCTTCTAACTGGGCAAAAACCGACTTCTTTTCCAATCGCACCATCAATCATCGGCCGGCAGACTCCAGCGGGATGTTATTGGCACACTTGATGCCCAAGCGTCCCAGAGCGTTACATAGTGCAACATAGTGCAACTAATAAGAGGGCCTCTCACTCTCATGTTTTTCAACCGCTGTTCAGGGGTTCTATTTCAGGGCTCAAAAGGCAAATCCTTTGAGGTATCCCCACACAAACCCTGCGCGCCCTCGAAATCACCCCATTTTGAAGGTAGAAACTGACTTTGCCCCAAGCCGCGGGGAAATGTGTTGCTTTTCCAAAGCGGCTTTAGCGTGGTGATCCCTTTGGCACTTCTTTTGGAGGTGCCCTAAACGGCGAGACAGTCGCAGCGACATGCTCCAAATGGCGGGAACGCGCATGGTCCCTTTTCACCAATGTCGTCAGGTGCCTGAATTTAGGAAACACCCACACGATAGCATTTTCAGCACTGCGGACGATAAAACTCGGTAGTCCCCTCTAATACAAACGCAAGAGTTGACCTAGCAAGCTTCCCTGTGAGAGTTTGAACCTTAGGGAAGCTTCCTTTAGGTGGCGTAGCTCAGTTTGAACCATCTCTCCGCTCCTCGCCCCCTCGCGCGCGAGCCTTCGAGCCTTCGGCTCGCTTTGCGAGATGGCTGTGGGTCGAGAATAGGTACCCAAAATGCAATTAACCCCGGATCAATCAACCCCTGGTTGATTTTGATGAGGGGGTGTCCAATTCCTTTTCGTGGTTGGATTCAGACCACCCTTGGAGTTTTTTTTCACCCCGAGGACAGGTGCTGAATTTCGATCCGTGTCGAGGTGTCGGTGGTGGTGAGCCTTGACTCCGCGGGCCTGGACTTCGAGGGGGGCTTCTTCGTGACCACCGGGAGCGGGGAGAAGTCCTTCCTCCCGCTGCGCCCGGGACGGACAACGTCGAGGAGAGAAGCCGCGGTAAAGAGCCCCGCGCCCCCCAAAAGGTGCTCCGTGCTTCGGATGAGGCCCATTCTCCAACCCCCCCCAAATATATATATATATATATATATATATAATGAATAAAATCGCGGAGGTTTGACCATGGTTGCAAGTGGGGTACTTAAAAAGGATGGCTTTCCTTGCAACCCTCGTAACAGTCTTGGTAACTCGTAAAGTTGCACATCTACGATTCCAACTAGAACCCCTGACACACCTACATTGTTGTTATGCGTGTGGCAAAAGGGATGGTGTGCTTTGCAACGATCGTTATAACTTCCCAGTAAAGTTCAAACAGAGACAGACAGACAGACAGACAGACAGACAGACAGGCAGGCAGGCAGACAGACAGACAGACAGACGGGAACATTCATACATACACACATGCATACATACGGAGACATACACATACACACACACACACATACAAGTGCAAACATAGATGCATGCACGCACACATGCATGCATGCATGCATGCATGCATGCATGCATGCATGCATGCATGCATGCATGCATGCATGCATGCATGCATACATACATACATACATTCCTGCCATGCCATGCCATGCCATGCCATGCACTGCCATGCAATGTACGTACATATACCATCATGATCACCGTGAGCAGCAGCAGCAGCAGCAGCAGCAGCAGCAGCAGCAGCAGCAGCAGCAGCAGCAGCAGCAGCAGCAGCAGCAGCAGCAGCAGCAGCAGCAGCAGCAGCAGCAGCAGCAGCAGCAGCAGCAGCAGCAGCAGCAGCAGCAGCAGCAGCAGCAGCAGCAGCAGCAGCAGCAGCAGCAGCAGCAGCAGCAGCAGCAGCAGCAGCAGCAGCAGCAGCAGCAATAGCAACATCATTAGCAGTCGCAGTAGCAGCTGTAGCAACATCTTCATTGGCAGCAGCAGGTGCCGCAGCAGCAGCAACAGACGAAGCAGCAGCGGCAACAGAAAGAGAAACAGCAACACAACAGCAACAGCACAGGGCCGATCCTTTTGGGCTTATGTTGACACTGTTCGATTTTATCAAAGTTAGACAAGCGGCTTTGTCAACCGGTTGGCCTTGAGAAGAGCCGCTTCTCTCGCTCTCTCAGGCAGCGGGGTGACACGGTGGTGCATCAATCTGACCTTCTGCACGGGGTGCACGTGAAGCGCGGGGATCGCTGGAGCTGGGCCATGTGGTTCCAAGACTCCTGGGCGCGGGCCTCGGAATTTGCAAAATCTCGGGCCCAAGGCCGGGTTTGGGCCATGCAGAAGATGACGATGCTGGTGATGCTGGTGATAATGAGGATGATGAGGAGGATGTCATGATCATGATGGTGGTGGTGGCGGTGGTGGTGGATGACAACGCTGCCGCATGCGACCATACCATGAGCATCAACGGCATCAGCACCAACCAAACACCAAGATCCTCATGCAGCTACAAACGCACAGGTACCGTCATAAGTCACACCGGGCATAGCTCAACGCCTCAATTCACTTTCAACGTCCTTGATACCTGTGCAAAGCCGCTGCAAAGGTTGAGAGTCGGAGCACGGGCTGAAGACCCTCCCCAAGAAACGTGGACCATGGGTGGGACCTGGAAATGGTGACCTCAAGGAGTCCGGACACCAAGAGGCCAAACCAGCGGCAGTGGACCCCAGCAAGAATGGAGCCATGTAACTCTCGGAAATCATACCAGGGGTAGAACCTGCCTGAAAGACCATGTTGGAGTTGGGCGCCGTTGTAAAGTATGAGTTCCAAACACAGGCACAATCAGTTAAAACCTTGCGTTTGGTATCCTCAGCTGTAAAGCTGGCCTTTTTGAGAGTTGAAACAGATGTTGCCCTAAGCCCTGTTGGAGGCAGAGTGTATCCGCGCATTCATGAAGCCATAGGAACATGGCTTCATTGTTGCTTGCTTGCGTGTGCCTTTTAATGGGTGCCCTTCTTGGTGTTGTGTGAAAAGGAAGCCCAAAGGAGAATTGAGACAAACTCATACAAAGTCTGCGTATGCTTTCCCCGGCAAACTAGTTGGTTTAAGCCCCAATGATAAGGTTGTCCCAGGATACCAAAAGGAGGATCATCAGCCGGCGTGCAAGCCACGAGCCGCTTTCCGTGGAAGCCCTTGTGGCCCCGAGGACTGCAGCTCCCGCGCTGAGAGTTGGTGGCAGCTCGAGGCGGAGGCCGGGGACCCGGTGGCGCAGACGCTGCGGGCGATGCGCGCCAGCACCCAGGAGGCCAGGAGCGAGCGGTTTTGGGTTCTGCGTGATTTGTTGCTTCTAAGAAGCCTTGGTTGATTTGGATGGTTGTTTTTCGTCTCAAGTCGTTTTTTTGCTTTTTATTCTTCTCCAAGCCTTGGTTTGGATTGGTTTGGGGATTGAACTGGCTTTAGTAGAGGGTAAATTGGAGACCGCCCTCAAGCCACAAATTGAGATAGGCTGAGTTGGTGTGTCTTTTTTCGGTTGGTCTACCTTCAGGTCTTTTCTTTGGCTTTCCCATCAAATGAAACGACCCCCCAAGTAAGCAGTGCAGAAGTTGACCCATTTTACGTCAGGAGTTGCGCCGTTGCTCTTGCAGTGAGGTCACTGTTGTGAAACTGTCCACCACCCCCTCGCCCTTCGGAGGCCTCTTTCAGCTCTTGCCTTTGTGGGTGTTCCTTCATTTTCCATTTCAAGCAGCAGCCAGGACTTGCCGAAACCAAAGCCTAGCCATTAAATATTATAAATTAGCCAGAAAATATACAACAAACAACATTGGCGGACGTTTTATATTGTTAAAAAGGCTTTACAATATTTAAAATATATTATTATAAATAATAATAATAATAATGATAAAGATAATAATAATATTAAAACAATTAAATTTATTAGTAATCATTTTTGTTCATCATTTTTTATAGATTTTAACAATAAAGTATATTATTATGGTCAAAATTATAGTGAAAGGAGATGTCAAAGCGGCCAGAGCATGCGCTTGGGCATCAGAATGCGGCAATGAGCTGGTTCATGGGCGTGTGGGCCAACGGACTCCAACCATCCCGGACCTTTTCGCTCGAACTTTCGCTTGAATCTCTCAAAAAACGCTCAACATTGAAATGTTTTGCAGTCATCCCCACTTCTTCCCCCCCCCCCTCCCCAACAGCCCGCCTCTCCTCGCGGAACCCGTGTCCACCTGCGCCTCGAGTTCAGGGTAGTGCTGCACATCGGGGCAGGTGCCCCTGACATTGACATATGACGTATAATAAATAAACATATATATATATATATGTATATGTATATGCACAAGCTCTACAAAGGTAAATTATTCATTCATACACAAACACCTGTCCCACACAACTTCACTTTACTATATTCAAGAACTGTACATCGACATTGTCAACCACTGTAATACGATTTCTATATGATGGCACATGGCTTCTCCATAGGCCCTTTTGACCCCACCCCCCTCTATGCCTCTACAGCCATTCCGCCCAGGAGTCCTGGACTTGGCTCCAGAGCGCGGCGCGGCAGAGCTTTCCGCGCGCGCAGCTCTACTTGGGGAAGGCCGTAGACTACGTTTCCACCGATCTGTGCGTGGCTCGTCCTTTTTTTGAGGACACCTCTTTTGTGGTAAAGGGAACCCAAAAGGAACGCCGAAGCCATTTTGGGGGTCCGATTCCCAAAAAATGAGACACCCAATTGCTGGAGTGCCTGGCACGAAGAGACTGTTGAGGCAGCCGAAGACCATCAGGTCATCACACTCCTCCTCTGGGAGTTTCTCCAAACTTTGGGCCAAGTTTGGTTGGTATTTCGAAGGGCAACCAGAAGGAATCCAACCAATTCGGGGGACCCATAGGTTGAGAACCACCCATATAACCAGAGATATGTTGTCATGGCTTTCGATTCGGCACAACCTTTCACTTGCTGGAAGAAAGCACATTTTTGCAGGAGGTTATATTCGCATTTCATGGGTGGTTGAAGACCAACCCGGTAAAACTAAGTTCGTGATGTGAGGTGCGGTGTTGTGTTCAGGGTTTGCCCTGGTGTTTGTTTTGAGCGGCGTTACGCGCGCGGGCTCCAAAACAAAAAGGGCTTCGAGACTGACATCTTGTGTGGATTTCATAGGGTCCCACCCCTGCAGCCTGCGTGAAATGACACTCAATGAACACATCCCGCTCCAGAGCAGTCGCGAATCTTCGGGATGGCCAGCAAGTCCTGAACGTAGATCCTACGCCGGATCCTGTGAGGGTTATTATTTGTTAGCGGGAATGGTTGAGTAGCGCTTGTTTGTTTCCCTTTATGCCAAGCAAGCATGGCACTCGATGCCTCTATGGGCACAAGGTTGCTTGGGTGAGAAGGGGTCAACGGGGGTGACAGCTAGGGTCAAAAGGTCAAAGAGGTCAAACAATCCCTGGTTCCACGACTGGTTCAAGCTCTTCAGGTTCTTCAGGTTCCTGCCTTGGTGGTCCTGCGCTTCGCCTAAACCCTTCCGGCGAGGCGCACGAGGACCGGGGTGCGACCCAAACGGCCGCTGGCTGGTACGAGTCGGCGCGGCACGGGGGCGAGGTAGACGCGTGCGCCTCGGCAGGACTTTGACCTGAAACTGGTTGGTTTCCTTGCGGGTTCCTCGAGAATTGTGGTTTTCCTTTTGTTTTCGTGGTTTTCTCAAGAATTGCGGGTTGAGAGTTTCCTTGTATCGTTGTGGCACTCCCCGAGTTCCTGGACTTCATATTTTGTTTTGGGGAACCCATTTTAGTGGTCGACAGAAGTTGGGACATTTTTTGGCCAATCCACTGGGGAAGTGAGACCTTATGGTCTTTCGGTCTTCTGGAAGGCGTTTTCAGAAGCACATCCAGGCTTCGAGCATCCCCTTCAGTGCGGAATCGCAGGTTTTTACCTGGGCCTTTGGGAGCAACAACAGGGCAACCTGTCCGGAGCTGCTGCTCTCTTCCAGCAGGGCGCACAGGCGCGGCATTGGGAAGGTGAAGGTGAAGATTTGGTGAGCAGGCAAACACCAAAAGGTCTTAATGGGAGGTATGTGTTTGATGGTATCCTTTCAACTGAAAGGCAAAGGCAACCAGTCCTTTTGCGTTTGTGTATTTTTTGAGTGTGTTTTTTTGTGTGTGAGGGACGGGGGGGGGGGGTGAAAGGACCGCGCAACAGTTTGGGTTCATTCAAAGCGACATGTCGAAGCGCAAACACTGCCACCAATTGTCTTGGCCCTCCTTGAACAACAATAATCATCAAGCGGTTTCATACTCTACACAAATATGTCATCACAAGCGGTCAGGCTGTCGTGCATGCAACAGAGTTGTTGTCCTAGCCGCGTTGCAAGGGAACCGAGGGGACTGGTCATGGACTCCTTTAGGATTTTGGCTAGCCACAATAAGGATTCCTAACCATGGCCATAGGCCACGTAAGGTTTGGGCGAAGCCTTCATATAGGGAGCCTGGAGGGGAAACCACCAGGTCCTCTTTTAAGAGACACCCATTTCGGGGGCCGGCGACGTAAAACCTGCCATGCCAACATTTAGAACTGTCAACAGAAAAGCCCTGCCTCTTTTTTTCTTGGGAAAGGCAAGGAATCGCTCACTCCCCGAGTTTCTGGACTTTGAGCTTGCGTTTGATTGGGCGATCCGCAGAAGTGAGGCCACGGGGTGGTGAAAAAGTCAGAGCCCATGGCCCATGGCGTGTAGGCAGGCGAGGGCAAAGCCATGGCGGAGTTGGGCAAGGCGTACCGCGACGGCCAGGGCGTGCCGAAGGAGAGGTCGAAGGGGTGTGTGTCTAGGTCCCCCAGTGTCCCACCAACCTTTTTTGGGGGAGGGTTCCCCCACTAAAATAGACTACGGAAAAAAGGGTACCCGAATTCTAACCTCTCTACTGGAGGACCTAGGTGTTCTTTTTCCCTTTTCCACTAGGCTCAGAGGGAGACCAAAATGAAGCACCACCGGAGGTCCCCATATCCGCAGATCCCAAATTGAGTAGCAAAACAAATCCTCAAGGCTGAAGCAACCAGAAGAAAATCCTGGACTGGTAAGCGACAGCCTTTCTGGGTTGCGGGACTGGTCCCAACCCAAGCCTTGCGCAGACCGAGGACCCGAGTCTGGCGCGCCAGTGGCTGGAGAAGGCGGCGGATTTTACTGTGGAGGCCATGTACCTCAGCCACCTGGCCCAGGCGCGGTGGGCGAAATGCCCCCATGGCTGTGGGTCAAAACCAATGGGAATCCATTGTGGCTGGTAGGTGCACCACCCATTTTAGAACCTATCTGGGGGCACGGGATTTTGACCCATGGCCACATGGGGCACCCTGCAGTTGTTTTACCTTACGCACAGCCAAGATCTGCAAGACATGACTGAAGTGGGAGGAGATGGGTTTCGAGTTGGTTCACCCTTCGAACATGGCAAGATGGATACCCAAGAAGCAAAAAGCTAAGCTTGGGGAAGGGTGACCTATTTGCAGGGGAGACCAGAGCAATGCTGCCATTTGCGTTTGTTGGTGGCATGTTTGTGCAAAAGGGGCGTGTTGGACTGTGACCAAAGCATATATTCAACGTTAGGCTAGAACTTAGTGATTCTGATTGGGACAAGAGGTTTCCGCATAACCGTGGCCCAATTTTCCCTGGTAGGGCAAGGTTGTGGGAATATGGGGGGGTTCTTTTGCTGTACCACATGATTCTTTTAAGTGTGTAGTTCGTCATTGCAAAGGCCCGTTGTCGAGCTGACATTCCTCCGACCTGGATGTCCAACCTGAAACCCATGGTTCTCAGTGTGATTTCGAGGGGTAGGTGCCCAAAGAACCTTAGACGCGTGGCTTTTAAGCTGCTTACTACTTAATGTTCACCCCACATTCATAAACCCTGTTTATTAATATTGGGGTGTTCCCTCCAAAAGTGATCATTCCCGACTAACCCAGGGACACCCCCATATCAATAAACAGGGGTTGATGAATCCGGGGCATCGGGGGGGGGAACAACTAGTGGGTTGAACCGCCAGAGCGGCTGCAGAGGCCTCGCCGCCGGAAGGCTCGGCCGCGCTGTTCTTGGAGCGCGCGGCGCGCATGGGCCACGAGGAGGTGTCATTGGGATTGGGGGTGGCGATGTCATCGGGTCATTCTCTTGAAGACCCTTGGCGTTGGATCTGTTCGCTGAACTTGTGGAATTTATGGTGAGGCAAAGAGGCGTCGGGAGTACACCTCGTTCATGAGAACAGAGTCAGGTCCATGAAAACCCCTGCGGGTTTCTTGGGTGCCGACCCAGGTCGAATCTGTGATTGCCTGTTCTTGGATAGTCTTCGGGTATCAATGGCTAAGCCCTTTGTCTCGCTTGCAGAGCGGACCTTTTCACCTGGGTCCTTCGATGTGGTTTCTGATATACTGAAGAAATCAACTGTCTGTGGAGCTTGTGTTTAGGTTCCAACAAGTGAACAACCCCAGTTGATTCACAAACCCTCAGTTGATTTTGATAGGGGTGCAGCCAATTCTAAGAGACTTGGGGGTCACTTCTGGGGCAGTTGGAGTTGCACCGCCCCCACTGAATCCGCCTTTGCGTTCCAGAGTACGTGTGCTTCCTTTGGCGTTTGGGGCAGAGTCAATACAAAGTGTTGCGTGTGGCAACCCGGGGCGTACATGCGCGTGCAAACCACGTGCCGTCTTGACGTTTTTGCCACACTTCAACTTGCCGAAAGCTGCTTGATGCCGATGCTGGAAACTTCCGGGGGTGGCACATGGTTTTCAAGGCGAAAAGTCAGAGGGGCTGCAAACGATAGCCTTCAATACCTAGCTGACAAGCAGCCTGAGCCGAACTGAACTGGATGGCCGGCTAAATTTATAGTATTTGGACAAAGCAGCTTTGACAGTTTGACAAGTGGTGTGCCTCGAGCTCAAAAGTTGCGCCTGGATTAGAGGGTGACTTTGCACAGTCTGACTTGATTCTGTTGGGAGCGTTTCAAGCTCTTCAAACAGCCCTGTTGTCCCACGTACAATAGCCGCTGCCGGTTTTGAATGATCATGCGCGTGATTTCAAAATAGAAAACTCTTGTAGGATGGCCCTAGTTTCAAAAGCACCCATATGGGTGTGTCTTTTTGTTGAGGGTACCCTTTTGGGGTTTACTTAAAGAGAAGCCAGGGGGAAATCAACATTTCGTGGGTCCACTCTCAGGGTGGTCTATGGAGCGAAAGCCGCTTCGGCAACTGTCTTCCGGGCAGAGCATGTTGGCATTGCCCGTTGCTCGTACAAAATCAAGTTGGACGCCCAAAAATGTAGAGGCCCTTTAAAGCCGGAGGTTTTCAATTGTGTTCCACTCAAGGGAGGAGTGTCTCTGGGTTTAGTGGGGAATCATCACTTTTGGAGGGGAACACCCCGGGTTGGTCAATATGGAGTCAACATTAAATGAGAGGTCCAAGTTGACTTTCAGCCACCATAGAAACCCTCGAACCGCACTCCCAGGCCATCCGCAAGTTCATGGAGCCCTTGGCGAAAGCGAAGCGCTGGGAGGCCGCTTGGACTTTTTTTTTGTTTATTTCTGGTAGTGCGCGGTTTGCGCTTTTTAAGGCTTGCAGTCTTCTCATGGGTCAGCCATGTCAGCTGCAATTGATCTAACACGAACAGAGGAAGCATCTTGAGACAACAAAAGAAACAACTCGAGGAACATAAAAAGAAGTAAAACACAAACACCTCGAAAACCAAAGCCAAAAACAAAGCAGAAAAAACATGCCATGTTGGAAGAGTTCCTGCAACATGTTGTTTCCTTTTGTGTCTGTTTTATCGAGTTCCCCCCCCCCCGTGAGTTTGTTTGGTTTTCTCAAGGCTTCTTTGTTTGTTTGTTTGTTTTCCTTTTTGGTTTTTCTCGAGTTTATTCTATGTATATGATGGGTCCTCCTCTGTTCTTGGCTGTTGTGCACGGTTTATTCAGTTACACTTCTCTCGTGAGTAGCGCAGACGATTTCTCATGTCATGAGTCTCGGCTGTACGATTGACATCAGAGGCGCGTCAGTCGGCTTGATGGAACAGAACACAACACAACATGGCTGAATATTATTGATGGTCATTGGGCAGAGCGCATGCCAGGACAAAGACTTCCCAGTCCGACATTCCTGCTGGCTACTTCTTTGCTTACCTAGCCCTTTAGATCCAAAACAAAAAAGCCTCGAGAAAACCAAACAAAAACAAAACATGGTTTAGAGAATCTTTGGTGCATATCCCATGTTAAAAGAGTTCTGGAACCGTGGTTATTGTTGCATTTCGTTGTTTTGTTTTTTCGAGCTTTTCTGTTGCTTGTGGTTTCCTCGAGGTTCTTGTTTTTCTGTTTTGTTTGGTTTTCTCTTGTTCTTTTTGTTTTCCGGTTTTATCGAGTGGTTTTTGTTTTTCAGTGTCTATGATGAGTCTACCTCTGTTCTTGGGTTAATTGTTTGTCGTCTAGGCAAATTGGAAGACATTACCAACTTGTTTGTCTTTCCTTATTAGATTCCGTTTCATCTTGATTGTATTTCTACTTGAAGTCCTACTTTCAAATGAACTCCTATGTCAAATCATTTCCGCATTACGAACTCTAGTTAATTCGTTTCATGCATGCAATTAAGTGTAAGAAGTCTAGTTAAACTCACTAGAAGAAACAACCCAGCTGCCTATCCCTACCATATTTTATGTACACGTTGCTTAAATCTAATCAAAACTCTAGAGGCTTGGAATTCCAATTTCAAATGTATTCAACAAATGTAATTGGAGTTACTCAGAAGAAACAATCAGCTTGTACCTCCTTTCTAGATTCTAGTTAAAACATTTTACAACTCTGATGCAGTGTCGGACAGAAGTTCCTATTCAGACTTGGAAGGGCATTCTGTCAATCTATGAAGGCCCAGTCTCTTGCATTTCTACTCCAAGTTTTAGATTGCAAGGCTTTAAGCTTAAATTGGATTTCGGATAGAACTCACCTCAAATTGCCGTTTGGATTTAGGCATTAAATAGTACTTCCCTTCCAAGTAGGATGTCAATCCATGGTTTTTTACTGGTTGCTCACTCCTTTTGAGGGGCTTGAAAGTTAGAAGAAGCACCAAGCTTGGGTCTCCTTGTTAGCTTCTTTATAGATCCCAATTTGAGTGCTACTTGAGGAAGCCCTATGTTAATGCCTTTTTACATTGAATTCTAACCAAAATGTGAGTTAAACTTAAAGCGTGGTAATTTATCGCTTGTAAACGATTACCACTGAAATCGCATCGTCCTTGCGCTTCTGGTGTTTCACGTCTTTTTAATGGACAGGCAAAAATAGTAGAAGCAAGCTTGTTTTCCCAACTGGAATCGATTTGAATTATAATTCAACTCAAATGCCAACAGGAATGAAAGGAAGATGCTAAGCCCACTGCAACTACTCTGGCTTGAATGAGCAGCAACAATAAGCGGCGTGTTGCCAAAATCCGAAGTAGAGGACCCCGTGTTGACTGATTCAGAATTCGCAGCTACAACCATTCTTCAGCAAAGCAAGCGCACAACTTGCTCAACATAGCAAGCCTTAATATCACAAAACAGTGCACTGCCACGGTCCCCCAGATTTTCTTGAGGCCGGGATCTGTGGCGGGGGGGGGGGGGGAATGACTCACCTGGACACCTGGAGCTCGTGGCAGGGGAGGAAATCACTGACTTACCCAGATTCAGGTTGTTTTGATGAAGGAGGCTCTGATAGTTCAGGCGATTTTTTGCTGGGATGCCTTCGGCGCAGGTTAAAGGTTGTTTGGACAAGCTAGAAGGCATGCTTGGCCCTTTTCTTTTTCGCGGTGTGCTGCATGCACAGGCCTGTCAAACAGGCGGGGCCACAGCGGCTGCGGCTTGCGGCCTGGTGTGGGGCACCTGACGAGCGTATCCAAGCTGTGGCCAAAGTTCATCGCATTTGTGGCTCATAGAGCAAGCGAAGGAGAAGGTGCAGAAGGGGGCCTGCTAGCAGCTGCCGCGAATAGAAAGAAGCAACAATTAGAAAGGCGCCGCGGGAAGAGGCAGCGCCGCGACCGTGAGAAGAAGGTGACGGAGGAGTGGACCAAGTTGCTGACCAGAACCGGGCGCTGGAAGACGAATTCTTGCAGCAGCACGGGCTTGGCGACGATGAGGATCTGGACTTTCACTTGCCCATCAAATGCACCTCCTCAAGTTGTGGCTTCGCGTTTGTCGAAGCCTCTCCCTGCCAGTAGCAGTGCAAGCGGACCCCATGAGTGGCTACCTGTGGCCACAAGTGCGCCGCCGGCGCCCGAACGCGCCGCCACCATCATGGGCCGACCAGCGTACATTCCACTGGAGCCAGAGTTTCCTGGCCCACGCGTGCCCAGGTTGCAACCGTCACAGTTGCCGGTGGGAGCGGTGCAACGGGATCAATGGGAGGCGATGGTTTCGGTGCACAAGATTCAGAAGTGGCGGCTGCCAATATTTCTTCTACAGCCCTCCTAATCTTGACTAATTAGACTGGGTGAAGTGAGCAGACGACTTGCGTGGACTGAGACAAGGTATGGGCGAGTCTCAAGGACATTAGTAGAGGAGCTGCAATTTGTTTTTTGTCAGTGCCTTTTGCAACTCGCCCATCAAAGCTGGCCAAAAACCAAGGGGGCACACGAAGTTTTGTCCTCTGGCTGGAACAAGTCTTTTGGCTCCCAGAGCAGACACTGGGCAGTTTTGCGAGCCTGGCGCGAACTGCAGCGGCTTTCCCTGCGAGAGCTGGGAAAATGAAATGTCTCTCGCAGCAATATATTTGAAATATATATACTTTCAATTGTCGAAAATAGTTGTGGGAAGAACCTCAAATATTTTGGGTTGATAAGTAGCTTTTAGGTTATTCGTATCATAGTTGTTCTAAGGAGTGAACAAAGAAAGGAAATGAAGAAAGGGAAAAGAAAGAAGGAAAGAAAGAAAGAAAGAAGGAACTAATGAAAGAATGACAGAATGAAAGAATGAAACGATGAAAGAAGGAAAGAAAAGAAAAAG